TGGTAAAATTGTTTGGGCAAAACATTGTGAAATTCAACAAGTTAATTTAAAACAATTAAGTAGTGATCAACAATTAAAAGATGGAGAAAAAGTACCATTAAATGTTAAAGAAATGGGTAGTTGTGAAATATATCCTCAAACATTATCACATTCACCAAATGGACGGTAATTTTATACTAAAAAAAAATTAGTTCATTTATAGTTTATAATGAATTTTATTTAGTTTTGTTGTCGTTTGTGGTGATGGTGAATATATAATTTATACAGCAATGACATTACGTAATAAAAGTTATGGTAGTGCTATGGAATTTGTTTGGTCACAAGATTCATCTGAATATGCTATACGTGATGGAAATATGGTTAAAATATTTAAAAATTTTAAAGAAAAAAAAACTTTTAAACCAGAAGCTGGTGCTGAAGGAATATTTGGTGGATCACTTTTAGGTGTTAGATCATATTCAGGTTTAACTTTCTATGATTGGGAAACAACAAGTTTAATTCGACGAATTGAAATTGTACCAAAAATTGTATGTTTTTTATTTTAATTGAATATCTATAGAATAATTTTGTTTATCTAGATTTATTGGAGTCAAAATGGTGAATTAGCTTGTATTGCAACAGAAGAATCCTATTATATTCTTCGTTATAATCCTCAAGCTGTAGCAGCTGCAGTATCAAATAAAGATCTTATATCTGAAGATGGTATTGAAGATGCATTTGATGTAAGTGTTTAATCAGAATTGAAATTATTTATATGTTTTCTTTCTGTCTAGGCACTTAGTGAAATTCCTGAAATTGTGAAAACTGGCATATGGGTTGGTGATTGTTTTATTTATACCAATTCTCTTAATCGTATAAATTATTATGTTGGTGGTGAAATTGTAACAATTTCGCATTTAGATAGGTAAAAGAAAATTTTGTCAATTATAATTTAAAATAAACCTTTTATTTTGTTTTAGAGTAATGTATTTATTAGGTTATGTGTCAAATGAAAATCGTTTATATTTGGGTGATAAAGAAATGTCAATTGTTTCATTTGAATTATCTTTATCTGTACTTGAATATCAAACAGCTGTTATGCGTAAAGATTTTGAAACAGCTGATCAAGTACTTCCAACAGTACCAAAAGAAGAACGTACACGTGTTGCACATTTTCTTGAGAAACAAGTTTGTTTAGATTTATAATTGAAAATTAAAAATAATTTTGTGTATTCTTAATTAGGGTTATCGTCAACAAGCATTAGCTGTTACAATGGATAATGAACATAAATTTGATTTAGCACTTCAATTAGGTAATTTACAAATCTGTTATGATCTTGCAGTTGAAATGGAAAATGAACAAAAATGGGTCCAATTATCTGATGTTGCAACAAAACGTGGTGATTTTAAATTAGTACAAGAATGTTTAACACGAGCACAATCATTTGGTTCACTTATATTATTAGCAAGTGCATCAAGTGATAAACAATTAATGTCAACAATTGGTGATCAATCAAGAAAAAATGGACAATTTAATATAGCTTTTCTATCAAATTTTGTTTTGGGAAATTTAGAACAATGTTTAGATATTCTTATTGAAAATCAACGTTTACCTGAAGCCGCTTTCTTTTGTCGAACATATTTACCATCACAAATTGGTCGTATCGTTGGTTTATGGAGAGATAAATTAAAACAAATGAATATGGAACGTGCAGCACAAGCATTAGCTAATCCAACTGATTATGAAAATCTTTTTCCAGGTCTTGTTAATACATATAAAACAGAACAATATTTAAAACAAACAACACAACAACAATCAGCTAATAATTATCAATCCATTATTGTAAGAAATTTAAATATATATATGTACTTTTTATATATTTTGTTTATTTTAGCCTAATTGGGAACGAAATCCCATTGAAGAAATGCAAGAAGCAGAAAATAGTGAACAATTTTTTTATGGTCCAGTGCAATCAAATAACGATACAGTTGAGACAGATGATAATGAACATTCTTCTAATATTAAAGATACATCAAAACAAACAATATCACCTGAAATAAAACAAACATCTGCTGCTTCTCCTCCACCTGCCAAGACAAATAAAGTAGAGAATAAAAAAATAAATTCTTCGTTTATTTTTTTGATTTGATTTTTAGCCAACCACCGACTTACCAGTAGTTAATAAATTAATTCCACCTGTTATTGCATCAACATCAAGTTCATCGGATCGTTCTCGTTCTCAATCTCCAATGAACAATTTAGTTAATTCAACAACAAAAAGTGCAACTCCTTCACCACCACCATTAAATAAAACAACACCACCGCCACCAACTACAACAACAACAGTAACTTCATCAGCAATATCCAAAGCAACAAGTGATAAACCAGCAACTACAACAGCACGTAAAACATCGTTAAGCGATCTTGAAAAAGAACTTCAAGAATTCGATATCGAAGATGATGTAAGCGACGTTGAAAATGCACAAACAACAGGAGTTAATAAGAGATTCACTGATGAAGATGAGGTAAAAACGTTAAAGTAGAGAAAATCTTTCATGATGACAAAATAACATCTTCTTGCACGTTGGTTAACAAAAGCATGCATTTTATTCTTTTAATATATTTATTTGCGGGGGTATAGAAATAGCATGATAACACTAATTTTTTTACTTTAAATAAATTCAAATAATTTCATTGTTCTTTTTTTTTATTAATATAGGATCTTCAATTTGATGATGATGATGTCGATGAATTTCTCAAAGATACTTAAATCCAATCGAATATCATCTTGTGATATATATGTATCAAGTTGTTTATTCTATTCCGCACATACAAGCATACAAATAACTCTATCATTTTTTTTTGTTCTTTTCGCTTTTTTTTCTTCTTCTTTGTAACTTATCGTCAATACTATTGTTTTTATCAACACTGTTGTTTTTCTTTTTAGCACTATATAGACACATATATGGGTATCACTTCTTTTTTGTCTTGATTTAGTCGATCTGAAATAAGCAAAAACCTATATTTAACTCGAATCGCGCTTTATTTAAGTTTGTTTTCTTTTTTGTCTTTTTCTTTTTACTATGCGGAACATAAGTCTAATTTAAGTTGTCTCTCTCTCTCTCTCGTTTTCTTTTTCTTTGTTTATTTCATTCTTGTTATTATTAAAAGAAACCGTAAGTGTTTGTCTGTATACATGTTTGACGATTTGTTCAACATAATTATTTATTCATTTAATAACCTATTTGCCATGGACTACAAGTGACATCTAGTAAAAAAGACTAAAGATATTGGTAGTAGAAAATTTTCTTTGTATTTCCAAAAGTTTCATTTCAATAATCATCATCAGATATCAAGAGAGAAAGAGAAATCAATGTATTGCATACTAGTAGTTCTTTTCATTTTAACGAATGGTTTGTTATCTACTACTGATATTCAACCATGTCTATCTCGTTCATTAGAACGAATCTTTCTTGATTATAATGAACAAAAATTTGATTGTTCATCACTTCCATCAAAAATTCAAACTACACTTGCACTTCATTTTACTTTTTGTCATTTAAATTCAACTGGTATTAATTCTAATACAATATGTTCTCTAACATTATCGAATAACAATGATCTAAATGAATGTTTACAAAATATTACGAAAAATTCATTTGCTTATTTAACTTATACAAATTTTATACCACATATTCAAAGTATTTGTTATGCAATTGAAACACAACAATGGCATAATCAAGCACGAGATACAATTTTACAATTAAATATACATTCGAATCAAGTTGAAAATGAAGCAAAAAATTTACTTATTGAACAGGATAGAATGCAAACGAGTCTTGATCAAGCATTAATTGTTAATCAACATTCTGTTGATGATGCACTTAATGTTGATCGATTTCTTCAAGTTGCACAGTCAGATGTAGAAGAATTACAAGGACATTTATATGTTAAAGATAAAGCACAAATTGAACTTATTCAACAAGTAAAATAAGAATTGAGTATAAATTTCTTATGTTATTATTTGTTAAGATATTAGAAACACTTTTTAATATACAAACATCATTATTTGTTGATGCTTTTGGTTTAAGTTCATATGTTTTTTATGCAGCATCACTCATTGGAATTTATTTATTAACGATACCAGAACGAACAAATGCTTCCAAGTAGATTAAGTAATCAAATGTACTGGTTTCTCATTTTTTTTTTAGATTTTGGTTAATTCTTCTATGGCTTAGTTTGATTGGTATAGAACGTTATACACTCTTTTTTTCTTCATATTCTCACGTAATAAAATATATTTAAAGTGAATTATTGTATGATTTAAATCTTTTAGGTAGATCTCTATAATGCATTATGGCGTCTTCGTCAATTATGGTTTTTTATTTCTTGTCTTACACTAACTTATCATGCTGTCAACTATAGAAATTATCATAAAGAAAATCAGAAATTAATCGATGAAATTGATCGAAAACATAAACAACTTGAAATAACTGCTAGAAAATGTAAGATTATCGCATGAAAATATGATTTAACTATTTGTTTTTCTTCATATTCAGGTTTACATGTTCTCAATCAATTAGAAACGATTGACGGTATGTATAAGTATTATATTATATTTTAATCATTGCTTCTTTTGTACTTCTTGACATACTAGATTCTATATCTGACGATCCAATGAATTATTCATCGGAGAATAATGATATATCGACATCAACTACATTGACGGATAATGAAGAAAAATAAAAATGTGATTTCTTTTTCTTTTTGTATTAAACTTGTAGATGTAGAATTATTTTTGTCTTAAAATGAAATAAACTATGAAATAATTAGATATTATAGAATATGAATAAAACAAATTATCTTTTACTAATCAATTAAAGAAAAAAACTACGTTTTGTCATTTCTGTTTTGTAATACATTGAAGAAAAAATATATAGCTTTGCTTATTTTTCTGTATGAATTAATCACTATTTGTATGAAAATTAGTTGTATGTCTATGAGTGCTACATCATCGCTCTCATGGTTGATTTTCTTTATATTCGCGTAGTTCATCGCATACTGTAGACAGACTAACTTGCTGCCATGGTAGTTCAATACGCTGATCATCCCCACATCCACATTCCCGCTGGATTGTATAAGATTTGCGCTGTTTTTTGCTGCCTTTTCTAACCAATTGAAGTTGAGTAAGCGTCCCGCATTCTTCACAATAATATTCGCCAAGACTTACTAAATCGTTAGGTGTGATATGTAAGTGCTCGATAGCCACATGCTCAATAATGTCATCACGGAATAAGCTCATACATTGATTATTGAAGCAACACGTTGAACCTTTTTTATCAGATATTTTCACGTTTTTCCCGTTAAATTTCTTTCGTTCCATTGCAGGTATCCGTTCGTTTATTAAATTATCATATTGTTTCTGATACTGTTCGTTGTTTTCGTTTGCATAAATCACTTGCATCGCTTTAGACACATTGTGATAGCCGTTATCCTCTAGCGCTCGCGCTATCGCAAGACGACGAGTATCTCTACACCATTGCTGGTTGTCATAGAGAAATATGACCATTGGTGGTAGAGAGCATGGATCAAGTAAACCAAGTGCAAGAGCAACATAGGTTTCGGCTACGTTCATTTTGCCATTACTAAACGTGGAATAGAGATATTCTTGTGTATATAATACATCAGAGAACTGTCTTTCGCTCATTGTACTGAATTATAAAGGTTTGATTCTACTCCTTAATGCATCTTTATATTTACCACATGACTTAATACAAAATTATTACTCGTCAAATTATTGACGAATAATTTTAAAAAATCTACTAGAAAAGAAAAAAACAAATAAACATAGGTAAATCGTAACTATCGACTAGACTTGTTTTAGCGTTGGCGAAAATTACTCATCATACTTCTCCTTTTATCATTGAGTATTACGAACTGTAGGTACATTGTTATTTATTTATCGTTTTCTTTTTCATCGTACAATGTAACCATTACTTTGAATAGATAAAACCAAAAATTTCGACTACAACGTATATGCATATTACTGCATTGATGTATAGTTTATCAGACCGAGATTGAATTGCAAATATTTTAAAGAGATGTTACCTGTGATTAACATTTTCTGAAAAAAACTCACCATTTTTTTGTCAATGTTAACATTCGAGATACAAAAGAGAGATGTTTGATTACATCTTTTCTTTCATGATTTTTTCTCTAAACACCAGTGTGTGATATCAACAATCTGATTTGACAAAAAAAATCATAGAAATATTTTACTTATACATATGTGTAATACATTGATTTGAAACGGTTTTTGTACTTATCAATATTATAACGGTCTAATATTATTCTCTATACTAATATCAAAATTAATTTTAATATTTCCAAAAATAAAGATTAAACAAAATACTAAAAATCAATTTCAATCAACTAGAATTATTTTATTGAATAATCTTGGATTATAATAAAATTCCTACGGATAAAGTTAACTCAAATTAAATCATACGAATTCATTTAAATAACAAAGACAGACAAAAATATGTCTACAATTTCTTGAATGTTTTTCTATTAAAGAATTAAAATCCAAATAAAATTGTTTTAAGTTGGTGCTGATGCCCATGAAAGTTTATCATCATCATCATCGTCATTACTATTATTTCTATGTTCATAAAGTAATGAATTTCCTCTTTTAATATCAACAGATACATGTATTGCTTGTTCTTCTTGAAGTTTTTTGTCTAATTCTCGAATATTTTCTTTAAGAAAATTAGTTGCTACCTAGAACAATAAAAGATGAAGACAAAATATTTTCTAATATATATTAATTAAACAATTACAGCTGTAGCTAATAGATTAACCATTGGAATAGTATTTAAATATGTTAAATTAAAAAAATGATCAATCAACATAATTAATTCAGGATCAATAAATGGTTCACTTTTTTCCTTGAAGTTTGATTCTAAAAAATGATTACAAAAATCAACTTTTTAGTACAATATTCTTTTACCTTTTTGTAATTCTGGTGTTATTTTTAATTCATTATATAATTTGCGCGAAAGAATTTTATCAATTTCATTTGGTGATAATATTGATGGTTGTTCATTATAAGATGATGGTAATGTTCGATAATAACGATTATTATCTGGTGTACACCAAAGAGATCCAAAAAGATAATCATTTGAATTCGAAACACGCGGCATTATATTCAAATACAATATAGACTGAACTACTATAATGAGCAAAAAAAACGACAGACTAATTTGTCACATGGCATAGAATATTTTTTGTTTTATCTAACGATATTTTATTAATATTTAAATAAATTCAAATTAATATTCATTTCTTTTTTTCTTTCTTTCTTTCTCCATATAAAATTCCGTTTTAAATAATAATGATATCCAGCTCCATCTATCTTCTAATTGTTGATAGAATGATTGGATCGAACAATGAAATAATTTCTCTTTTTTTTCGCTAAATTTTCCTCAAACTTATTCATTTCATTTCATTGTTCGATTCAAATTTATTTTGTTAACATAGAATTTCATCAAATAATGTTTAAGAAATTTCATGAAAAAGATAGTGTAACAAGTGTAACACAACTTCGTAATACAGATGTTAAACGACTTAAACAACGTTTAATACAAGATTTTCCACATATTGAATCTGTATTAGATGAAATTTTACCAAAAAAAGATACACCAAAATTAGTTAAATGTCAAGATCATATTGAATTAATTGCTGATTCAACAGGTCAACCATTATTTTTTCGATTTCGTGATTCACAATCATATATACCATTATTACGTTTATTACATAAATATCCATTTATATTACGTCCACAACAAGTTGATAAAGGTGCAATACGATTTGTACTTTCAGGAGCGAATATTATGTGCCCAGGTTTAACATCTCCAGGTGCAAAATTATGTGATGCACCAAAAGATTCGATTTGTGCTGTTATGGCTGAAGGTAAAGAACATGCATTGGCTATTGGTTTATTAAAAATGTCATCACAAGATATGCAACAAATTAATAAAGGTGTTGGAGTTGAAACATTACATTATTTAAATGATGGTCTTTGGACTGTTAAACATGGATTTAAATAATTTATTTTTTGTTTCTCTAATTTTAAGAAAGATAATATATAACAGCAAAGATATGAAACAATGATGAAAAAAAAAAATAGCATGTTGTTTTTTTTTTATTATTTATTCGTGTTTCAGATAATGGCTAATAATGTAATAGTTGATACACATTATACACAAAATATGAATCGCTCAGTAACGAGTGATTCGGAAACATATCAACAATGTAATTATCAACAATTTCAAATGCTTGTTCATTCAGTTGTTGATCAATTAAATAGTATGTATAGAATAATCGTGTATAATATATATAGATAATAAATTTTGTTTTTAGCCGATGAAGTTCGATTAAAACATCTTCAAAATATTTCGGATAATATTGAAGTAATAAGAGAAATTTAAATTCGAACAGAAATAATAAATATTTTTTTTTATTATAGGTTCTTTCAACTTTACCCAATTATCCAGCATATATCGATTTATTAGTTAAAAATTTTCTTAGATCATTAATTGAAACAGATACTGTATTTATAATTCCTAGTAATGCACAAGTATGTCTTCATTTTTTAATCTATTATTATCTTAAGTCACTATTGAGTAGTTTACTATATGGGCACTGATAAAAAAAAGAATCGAATTATAATTTGATTATTACGTAATCACTTGAGATATACGTAAAATGTCTTAGTCATGAGATTTTCATATATGAGTCGGTTCTTCAAAAGGTTGGCATCAACCGCACACATTAAATAGTATCCTTATTGAAAAATAGTCACATACGTACAAACAGTACAATATCACGTTTTAAAACGATTCTAAGCCTTATAAATTCTATTCGAATCGACTCTGATGAGAAAATACTATAGACTAGTTCGACATATTTGAAAGCCAAATATTACAATAAAGAGAATATGACATTTAACTTTAGACAATTCGCAAACAAATGATTGAAATATTCCATCGTTTACCAATCTCTGAAGTTCTTCGTCCATTTGTTAAAGATATATTATCACCTATATTTAAATTATTAACAAAAGAAAATGAAGAAAATGCATTATTATTATTACGTATTATTGTTGAATATATGAAACAATTTCGCCCACAAATGATCAATGAAGTTCGTGAATTTCTTCAATTTGTTCATAATGTTTATCGACAAAAAGCTTCAGCACTTGATCAAATTTTTACAACGAAAACATTTTCTTATCCAACAATGACAATTAATGAAATTGATATCATAAATATTATTGAACAAATATGTTCATCTGTACAATTAACAGTAAAAAAAATTCAAAATTTACCAACACAATCATCATTAACAACAGATGATACGACTAATTCATCATCACCACAAGTCGTACTTGATACAGTAATTATTATATGAATATATATATATAATAATTGTTTTAATGAATGAATTATTTATTTAGTTTACTATACTTTCTCGTGCATCACATTCAGTTAAATTATTAGCTGAATTTCCAGTTGCGATTGTTCTTCTCTATCAACTTTGTCGACAATCATTACAAATAGAATTTGGAGATTTAGTACCATTATTTTTAAGATATCTTTCATTACAACCAAACAAAGAACAAAAGTTTGTTTACATTATACATTTTTAAACATTTATATTTATTTATTTTTTCTGAAGGAGTGATTCGAAATTTAATATGGAAATATATATAGAATTTCTAACAACACAAGCAAAAACATTATCATTTCTTGCATTTGTTGGTAAAACATATCAGGTAAAATTATAATTAATCTAGCTAACGCGAGTTATATATATATTTACTTTTTTTTGTATATTAATAGGATCAATTGGCATCAAATAGTGAATTATTAGTAATTGCACTTTTACAATTACTTGATGGTTGTCCACCAGAAAATGTACAATTACGAAAAGATATAATTGTTGCTGCTCGACATTTTCTTTCGTCAGATTTACGAACATGTAGGATATTATTCAGTTGAAAAATTCGAGCTCCAATTATTTATTTTTATTTTAGTATTCGTACCACATGTAAAACGATTTTTTGATGAAAATTTATTACTTAGTATTGGTTATACTGCGCGTGAAACACTCAAGTTTGTTTTGAATAAAAATAATAATAGATTAAAATATTTTGAAAAAATATTTTAGACCATTAGCTTATAATACATTTGGAGATTTTTTTAATCATATTCGAACAAATTTATCGATTGAAGATCTTCAAAGTGTATTATATATGTATTCAAAAATGATTCATGATTCAAGTTTACCACCATCAATACAAGTAATGAGTTTAAAATTTCTAACCAATATTGCAGAATCAATACGTCAAAAAGGAACGGAAAAAGTAATTGAAATTATAAATTTTATTAATCGAAAAATCTAATTATCTTTTTCTTTTCGTTTTAGTCTCGTGATTTATTGATACGTATTGTAGAAATTCTAATTTTCAAATGTAAAAGTTTAGCTAAACAATGTACTCATTTATCAAATAGTTCCAACGAAAAATCGTATGTTTCTTTTAAAAAGATGAATAAAAGATGAAAATATTTTCTATGATATAGGACTACTCCAACGATTCCACTTGTACCTGAAGTTGATGTAACAACAAGTACAATAAATGAACTTGTTCAAAATATGAATGATATTACAAATAGAGAAAAAGAACTTCAACGACAACAGGTATTTTATATTTTAAATTCATAGAAAACAATCATTCAGCTCCGGTCTAGCAGAAAACTTTTCGCTAGATGATATAAATTATTTTTGAGTTTCATATATAAACAATACTAAAATAACTATGAATCCAAAAGGCAGTAATAAACATTTGTAGTCAATGATTGCATGGTTACTCATACCTCTGAATGCCATAGATGACTTCCATTTTATGCTTTATTCTCCAAACAACTCTTACTAGAGTGTGGGTGGGTGTCAGTATTCTACTTCACCCACACAAGTCATTGGCCAAAATCTTTTTACCTATTCGAAGTTCACTTATGAACGAACGAAATTAGAACGAGACACTCGGAGATGTTTCCTCGTATCGTTAGTAGAATAATGACGAAATAAATCTAGATTATGATATTGATTTACTGTCATTTTCTTTTTGTTATAAATTTTTGTCAATCTTCTAATTTTAGTTATCTTTAATACGTTTTCAAGCAACATCTCCATTAATCTTTACATTATCATCAAGTGATTGTCGTACATTATTAAAAGTACTTGTTAGTAGTTTACGTCATATAACATGGATATTAGCTGATGTTAAGATATCATCTGAAAATCTTGTTACTCAACCTAAACAATTTGCTCCATCAATAACAATTCTTTATATAAAATTTTTCAAATATATTCTTCAATGTTTAATACTTTTTTTTGATTCAACATCAACCGTAAATTCCAATGGAAATTCTTCAACAATAAATAATTCAACAAATTTAACACGTAATAAAGAAGAAAAAGAAATTATGGATATGATTGCAAGTGTATTTATTGTAATGCATAAACAAAATTATCGTGAAATATTTGAAAATAATTTATTATATTTTTATCAATGTGCTAATAAAAATCCAAATATAACATTAATAATGAATACATTATTACAACAATCACCATCATCAACAATACTTGTTGAATTATTACTTGAATTTTTATTACCACGTATAAATGAAATCGGTGAAACAAATAATACCAATAATGCTTGTTTAAAATTATTTAAATTAGTTATAAATAGTGTTGTTACAACAACATTAGCAAATGAAAATGAAAAAATTCTTCAACCATATTTAAAACAAATTATTTTACGTTCTATTGAATGTGCACAATTAACACAAGACCCATATAATTATTTTATTTTATTACGCGCATTATTTCGTAGTATCGGTGTTGGTAATCATGAATTATTAAATCAAGAATTTCTTACTTTATTACATTTTCTTTTACAACGTCTTAATGAATATCAATCATGTAAACATCGACAACATTTAAGAGAATTATTTATTGAATTATGTCTAACTGTACCTGTACGATTGAGTGTTTTATTACCATATTTACCATTATTAATGGAACCATTAGTTAATGCATTAAATGGTTCATCAACATTAATATTACAAGGTTTACGTACATTAGAATTATGTGTTGATAATTTACAACCAGATTTTCTTTATAATCATATTTTACCTGTAAGAAGTAGTTTAATGATATCATTATATCGTTTATTAAATCATATAAATAATGATATTTCACAAAATACATTTCGAATATTAGGAAAATTAGGTGGAAATAATAGAAGAATACTTAATGAGCCACAACAAATTAAATATGATAATGAAGATTTTGATAATGAACAACAAAATGAAATTTATGTACAAATGTCTTTTGAAAATGAATTAAAATCAATTAGTATACCATTATTAAAAGTAAGAAAAATAGATTCTCACCTACTAAGGTCGAAAGTAAAAAATGTCGAAATATCAAAATAATAAGATTTTGGGTGCTCAAAACAGCTTAAGAGGAAAAATAAGGAAAGACGTTTGAGAGTGGATGTGGGTCTAAATATAAACATGTATCTATATTTAGCCACACCCACACTCATCCACACCCAGGGGTGTAAGTCAGGTGTCAGAGCGGGGGGGGGG